CTGTTGTTAAGACCACAAACTACGAGGGCAGTTCGGAAAGTTCTTAGCCTAGCACAAAAAGCACGATATAAACAGAAAAAAAGTTAAGTGTTTTGGAAACTTCCATTTCTGTTATGAGAGAAGTTGTCGACGTAATGAGTTTCTCACCTTTAATAGGAGTATGTTCACCTATTATTCCCCAGAACCTCTTAATTGTTGTTGTGGCTGCAGACTCCAACATAATTTAGTATTTTGTTCTTCATAGCGAACACCCTCTTCCAGGGTTTGTGAGTAAAGATCGGAGCCAATGAAATAATTTCTTCATTCTAGGTCATATGGAAACTTCAGTTCGGCATTCTTATTTGTTAGTTGTAACAATTAAGTTACTGATGTAATTTGGGATTCTTGATGTATCAGTGTTTTAGGCATTACATTAGACGAACTTGGGCCGTTGCAAGCAGAAAATTCGTTGTTCTAAAATTTTCTACACAATGCTATTTTGTGTCCGGCCATTTTGCAGAACTTACATTCTTTTGACATTTTGAATGTAGCCAATACGTCAATCCTAATCCAGTTTTCGGATGATAGTTCTGGCTATAATTAGAGGTATTAATTTTTGAGGTATTAATGCATGGATACGCTCGTTTACGTTATTGAGCAAATTTCGTATATTGGTTGCTGACTGGCTGTTAAAATTTTGATGGTCTTTTGTTGTCATATCTCTTTTTTAGCAACTCCCATGATGCCTTTTTATTTGCCTCCGTGACATTAGTTTTCATCGAGTTTCCACTTTTCCTCCAAAACACGTTATTGGAATGCGTTTCATCCAGACGTTCATGGAATCATCTTTTAGCCAGTCAATTTTTGGATTATTTCCTGAATTCTTCCTTTAAAATTCTCTTAAATTTCTTTGAATTTCATGTCTACGTCTTATATACCACATTTCATCCATTTGTTTTTCCCGTGATCACTTCCTATATTCTAGATCACACATTTTTACACTGTTGTTAGTTCTCAATCCATGGCGTCCCGAGTTTATCTTGTTCCTAAATTGGAAAAGGATTGTGCCAACTTTGTTTATGTTTAACTGGCCTGCTTGCCAGTCAAACATATATATATATATGTATATATGCTGTGTGCCGGAATCTTATACTCGTCAACGTAGGCGTTGATCTCTGTTCGTTCTGTTGTGATTGATATATTCTGTACTACTCGAACAATCGATTTGATATAATAAATGCCAATATCAATCGATATTTTCTCACATACTGCAAAAATATTCCGGCCTTCTTCAATAAAGGCTATCGAAATTGAATCGTTCCTTTATGGCATGTTCTGACGGGCATTCGAACAACGTAATTCGCTCTCAGAATTACGTACATGAATTAACCCGTTCATACAACACTATTCTTAATTCATGTCATCAGAGTTTTTTTATTTCAAATGTTTGTTTCTTGTTTTACACCAAAATTGTAACATATTTGCGTGAATCACATATGGATCTAAATAGAAAAAATAATTCTCTTCCTCCTGACTATAATATCAACTTCTATCTCTTTACTTTTAATTCATGTTTTCTATTTTTCCTGAAAATATTGTTGTTTTCAATACATTTTTATATTTTTTCACCTCAAATGTCACATTTCAAAAATTGGAGAATTTTTGTTTAGGTTTCCCCACTTTTGTCTCTCGTTTTGTACGCAAATTAGAACAAAGGGGAAATAAATGCATATTGCATCATGTAGACAACAAAATTTACATCCTTCTGCATATATAAAAACTACAATTTTGTTTACTTTTCATTCATCATTTTAAATTCTACTGAAAAAGTTTGAAAATTTTAAAAATTTGTTCATGCTGTCAAAATTAATTTATTTTCGATAAATTCTCTCAATTGTTAGATATGGGACAAAATTCTTGGTGATTCAGAGAGTGATTCGAATTGAACAACGTACAAAAGTAGGTGTTCGCTCAGACAATTTTGTATGGGGAACTAAGTAATTACTTCATAATTAATGCCATCTTCTGACGGACATTCGAACAACGTAGTTCGCTCTCAGAATTATGTACATGAATTATCCCGTTCATACAACACTATTCTTAATTCATGTCATCAGAGTTTTTTATTTCTAACTTTTTGTTCCTTGTTTTACACCAAAATTGTAACATATTTGCTTGAATCACATATGGATCTATCTAAATAGAAAAATAATTCTCTTTTTCCTGACTATAGCATGAACCCATATCTATTTACTTTTAATTCGTGTTTTTAATTTTTTCTGAAAATATTGTTGTTTTCATACATTTTTATATTTTCTGAATTCAAATGTCACATATGTACATATATGTAAATAAAAAATTGAAGAATATTTGTTTGGGTTTCCCCACATTTGTTTCTTGTTTTGCACGCTAATTAGAACCAAAGGGAAAAATGCATATTGCATTACGAAGATAACAAAATTTACATCCTGCTGCATATATAAAAACCAGATAATTTGTTACTTTTCATTCATCATTTTCAATTTGTTTTGATTTAGATTAGGCGAGTTTACTTGTGGCAATTCTTGTCTTTCTCTTTTGAACTTGCTTCATGCGTCTATACAAGGCAATTCGGTTTCCAAAATATTTTCATATTTGTTGTTTTTTCACATTTAAATATATATAAAATGTCAACAAATACGAAATACTCAAAACGAATTGCCTGAAAATTGTTGGTACGAGCAATTTTTTTTATTTTTATTCCCCTTACCCCTCTCTCCTACAAACAAAGACTTGCCGCAAGTAAACTCGCCTAATCTAAATCAGGACTTTTTCTGAAAAAGTTTGAAAATTTTATAAATATTTTCCAGCTGTCAAAATTAATTTATTTTCGATAAATGCTCTCAATCGTTAGGGATGGGACGAATTTCTTTGTTGTTTGGAGAGTGATTCGAATTGAACTACGTACAAAAATCGGTGTTCGCTCAGAAAAATTTGTATGGGAAACTAAGTAATTACTTCATAATTAAGGGTCGAACGACGAATGAGAGAGCGAACAACGCTCATCTGTACATGGCATTAGGTTAATTCTAATTTTTTGAGTCTTTATTTCAAATATTTATTTATTTTAAAAATTATTTACTGTTTTCTACTAATTCTAGCAATTTCTGGTGCATTCGGACCTTTATTTTTTATAATAAGGATGATTTTCTGAATGTTAGGTGTACTGTACACATTTTTTGGAAATTTTGATAAACTTTACAATTTTTTTTCAAAAAAATTTATTTGTAAATGATTCTATCTTGGTTTACATAATTTAACTAATTTAAAGATTTTTTTAAAACATTTTCAAAAAATGCAGTAAAGTAAAAAATTACACAATGTTTTAATTATGTGGCCACCTCAAAGTCGATGTTTTTTTCATAAAAACCATTATTTATGGAAAAATTGCATGCAATAATTTTCTATTTTCACACTAAATCTCTAAAGTGCAGTATATCGAAGTGTTCTGAATTAAAACATTTTCAAAAATACTTCAAACGAATCGAGGGCTGATCAAAAAATGTTTACCACAGTAAATGTTTTAATTACGTGACCACCACTGTATGTGTTTTATTCATACATATAAGAAATCCATAATATGGTGAAAAATACAGTTAATTTCGTAGTCTTATTTGAATTTTTGAGAAATCGAAACCAAACTCTGTTTGTTACTGAAGTTTACTGGGCATGTTCAAAGGTGCCCCACCTGTGGCATTTTTGGGAAATTTATATTTTGTTTTGTAGGAAATATATATGAAAGAAAATACAATAGTTATGTTTGAAATGATTGTTGGAATGCAAAAAAATTGTTTAACAAAAGAAAACTATCACTGAATTCTTCCTGCGCCCTTACAACCAAAAAAATAGAAGTTTACAATGGCACGGCGAATACATGGTCACTCATGTACATTTTGTCGACAATTGGAAAAGCTAGCCAAAAAGGTTTACGCAGATAAAGAATAAGATTGGCATATAAAAAAATCGTTGCGGGTCGGAAAAAGTTTAAACCGAGATTTTAACAGAACTGTTAAAAGGTGCTCCCCTATTGTTCATCTATTCTAACTCCACCCACCAATTTGTTCAAAGATGACCCATTACACAAACAAAAATTCAAAACAATTTGGCTGTTTTAAGGTTGGTTTTTTATTATTTATTATTCATTACCGTTACTGATACAAACATTTAGTAAAGTGTATTTTATTTTAAGAATAAATAGATATGTATATGTTTAAAAATATTTGTATATATATATTCGAAAGTATATATATAGTGTAGGTATTGTATTTCGTATAAATATAAATATATAATTGTTGTGAATAAAATTACAAAAAGAAACATTAACACTTGTTTGAATAAAATATAACAATTAACACGATTTTATAATATTTGTTTTTTTTTTGTTTTTTTTTCGTATGAAATCAAACGGAACAAATGAAACAATTTATGGATAATTAAATAGAATTATTTCCATTACAATAATTATAACGATAAAAATATTAAAAATTAAATAATTGTGAACTGTAATTAAATTTATTTTTTAATAGAATTGTTTTTTTTTTCTTTTGTGGTGTTACAAATCGTTTTTGAAAAAAAAAACATTAAATGATGATGTTCTTTGTCACAAAGAGTGTTACAAATAAAAGAGAGTTTGAGAGAGACTTTGAATTAAAAAAAAAACAGTTATATTATTGTGGGAGAGCAGATTTTTGTTGGTGTTTATTTGTTAAGATTCTTTCTCTTTTTTGTTGTGTTAATGTTTTCGTTAACAAACTAGGCTTCTTTGATTTTTTGTTTTGATTATCTTTCTTTCAGACGATTCTACAACAGAGATGAAGATGATTGTTTTGTGATGTTGTTGTTGTTTTAGGTGGTGGTGTAGTTGTTGTTGTTGATTTTACACAATAGATACATTCCGATACCATTTCTTATTTTATTTTTTCAAGTGTTTTTGTTTTTTAAAAAACGAAAAATAATTAAAAATGAAAAAATGATAAAAAATATGTTGTGTTTTTATTGTTGTTTTGTAAAAGTAACTCATTAAAAATAGTTGTAGTTGTATATATCAAATAATTAATAACTTATTTGGGGCATTATATAATGTTGTTATAATTCAAACAACAGCGAAGACATTTACATTTTTCTAAAAAAATTGGTTTTAAATTATGCTCTTTGGTTCTCCATGATGGATCGGCGATCAGCATTCGATCGCTGACTGTTGGCGACTATGGCTTTTTAGAGGGGGCCAAAGAGATAGACAGCTGGGTGGTTGTCGGCAGTGTTGCCCAAGAATTCGGCATAGAGTTCCTGGTAGCGGTCCAAATTGAGACCGCCAACTTTCTTATCGTTATCCTGTAAAAACGTAATCGATTAGAACAGAGTGCAAATGCGATTCGTCAATGTTCGTCATTAATATTAGTTCCACAAACAGATGGTATAACACCCAGTTATTTAGGTGGCTGAGAGACACTTCACATCATGACGTTGTTAGTTACTACACGATGCTTGTATTATTATTTTTAGCTATATGATAGATCCACAGTTTGCTCCGATTCCATTGTGTGTCTGTTTGAGTTATCTCCTGTCCTCAGGATGAATCGTAGCATGAAGCACTATACAAATGCAGTTATCATTTTTGTGATCGTTATCATACATTGTGATCGAAAAGACAATTTGTAGATTTCTAATCTGCATTGGATCGTTACCGAACATTATTTGAGCTATTAATGGCTTTAACAACATACAAATAAAATGCATACAAAATATTGTGTAAACGAATACGAATACATCAAAACAAAACATCGTTAGGTTTGGCAGTGCCACCACGTGGTGTGATTTCTCAATCTCACCTTCAAAATATATAAAATTGGTCGGTACCATTATATGGAAGCTATACGAAAACGTAAACGGATATTGATAAACTTTGACAGGAAGATATGAAATCTCATGGAAAACCGAAAAAATAGAGCCAATTCGGCTGAAAAAAGTATTTACCAATAACCGAATAGTTGTTGGTAACAATAAATGGGGTCTGATCAAGAATTTAGAGTAAAATCTATACTATTTGACTCTATAAACTGTATTGTGAAGATACATAAGTTCCGTTCCAGAACCTAAAAGAATCTACTCATTTTACAATTTTTGCAACTTTTTACTCGAAACCTGTTCCTGAACCCACAAAACTGGTAAAACATTTAATCAAATTTAAGAGAGCACAAAACAAAATGGCGTTCTCTTTGTAAACTTTTTACTCGAGAAATTTGGCCGAGTAAAAATGGTAAACAGGAATGCCAACTTCTGATTGGCTGTTATGTTGATTTTGAAGTATTGTCATGTAATATTGACATATTTACTAGATTTGCGTTGCCGAACTTTTCAAATTATTTTGTACTCTGAGAGTGAATTTGAAATGTTTTCCTTTTACTAGTTTTACTATTAAAAATTACTGGAACAGACCAATTATTTCGTATTTGATTTTTTTATTAAAATCGTAACATGCACAGTTAGCATTTCGAACAGCGAATGTTTTCCTTATCGGTGTAGTTTTTTTACGACGTCTTCAGTAAAGAGGTACACGAAACATTACTATTTTAGTGAATATTTTACCTAATATTTTTAATGTTCATATTTTTGCAATGAGTAATTTTTTTGTTTTTATAAAAACAATTTTTAATGATGACCAAATTAAAAGAAACCTCAATAATCCGGATTAGGGCCTCCAATCAAACCGAATTAAGTACTGTGAAAACTTAATAGGGTATCCGCTGAATATTTTAGTGTTATTAGAAAAAGAATGACAAAATTAATCCATGTTGTGGAGGGTATGGCAAATTGCAAAATACACAAACATACCCTATATGGGGCTTAATGTTTAACGTTTATTAAAAACGCTCTACAATCGATCTTCAGAATTTCGATTTGAACCTTAAGACGAACTTTCAGTGATATAGATTTGCTTAGCTCGTTATTGATATTATTTACGGTAGTAATATTAAAATCGTGCATTTATTATAATTCGATGAACAAGGAAGACATTTCACAAAATAAAGTGTTAATATTTCTTAAAAAGAATTTCTTAAAAAAGAGATGTACCATGTATTTTATTAAAAGAAAATAACACGTTGCAGATTACTTTGAAATTTCCAAACTTTCTGATCACAATATATGACAGAGCTAAAATTGTTCCAATTCCAACAATTCTGATTAATATCTCCGTAGATTTAAATGCAGATATTGTCTAGTGCAGCATTGTATTGCATTGCAGCGGGATCTTTGGTTAGGTAATACGAATAATTAGTAATGCTAACTAACATCTACTATGTTTTATATAAAAAATAATATGTACTAGAGATTAGTTGTTAAATGCCTCCTTGAAAATTAGATATGAAAAAAGTTTAGCTGTTTTTTGTCTATAAGTGAGTTGCTTTTTCAAAAACATTAAGGAGCCAATATTATGATGGATTAAAGATATTTGGAAACAAATAAACCACTTGTTTTATGCTTATGTTTTCGTTGTATTGGTTCAATTGAAAAAAAAAAATAAAAAAATATTTAAAAAAATTTGATATGTTTTAATTTTTTCTTCGATGATATGTAAAATTTTGTCAGTACCGACTTATTGGCATTAATGGTTTTGGTTTTTGAGTTCAGGTGAATTTGAAGTTTAGCGTTTTAGTAGCGGACACATTTATCTGTCAGAGAACATTGACTGTAAAATTGTTTATTCAACATTTAGCTTATTGTATTGTTATTGTTTCCCCCCTCAATTGTTGTGTTGGAAGAGTAGTGAAAACATCTTTCTTTGGGATTAGAAAGTATCCACAGTCATAGCCAATGATTCCCGTTAGTCTCAAAAAACAAAAACCTTTGTCTCCTATTTTGCTTACATTCAAGAGGGATTCAAAAGCTTTGTCTATGGGCGCAACATCTTCGATAGCCATTCTTGTAATGCAATTGTAACGGTATTCCTCAATACCAACAATGCCATCACTGTTGATGTCAAGAATTTTGAAATTGGATTCAATAAATGCTTTCATGGCCTGAAATAGACAAAAAGTAAATAAACAAATTGCAAATAAGATAAACAATTAATTGACCATCCATCGGTTGCAGAATTAACGGCTGGTAGATGCCAGCATCGACATACCTGAGGAAATTCGCTGTATTTCTTTCCAACGCAGGTCTTACGAACGGCATCTTTGAATTCCTTATTGGAAATTTTTCCATCCTATAGCCGAATCGAGTGATGTGGGGATAGAGCAAAATACATTATTGATTGAACCATGATTATTTAAGAATTTGAATAATATCGACATTTTGTTGTAATTGTTAAACTTGCATAAAAACACAACTTAAATAATTATTAGAAATTGATTTTTTGGGTTACCTTGTCGTCGTCGGCAATTTCGGAAATTTCAACCCACAAGTTCTTCATCAGTTTCTTGTACTCGGCCAAACGATTGGCACTGCAGTCGCCTTTGCCTTCCACTACACAGGCTCTCACGGCCATGCATTGGAAATCGTTTTCGTCGAGCACGCCATTGTTGTCGATATCTGGGGAAGGTAAGCAATTTGCAGGATTATATAGCTACGAATCATGCTTAAAACAGGAATACAAGAATACGTAACGAAAGAGACGAATGACGGATGCAATTTGAAAAAAAAACGGAAGAAATTATGACACAGTCATTTTGACTGTTTTTTTTTCTTCTTCAATTTCAATTACAAAAACAATTATGCTTAACACGTCTTCTTAGTATTTTTTTTTTAATTTTTTTTTCAACATATAAATGCTGCTTCATTATCTCTTTTATTTCGTCTATAAAGTGTTCACATTTTCAATTTTTATTTGTTTAACAAAACATTTAACAGTAATTAAGCAATTTCAAAATTTGTATTGCCCTTTTATTGTGTATTTAGTACTCAATAAATATATGCCAATTTTTTTTAGAAAAATAACCAACAAACACATTAAAAACCACTAAATCATGAAAACAACTCGCATTCGAGTTATTATTATTAAGAAATCGTCAAACGAAGAATACATTTACAAAAAATGTAAACCCGAATTAAATATGAGCCACATGCCACATATTTATGTGAAATTGGAATATTCTTGTTATAAAATATATTTAAAATATGAGTCGTTTTTTTTAAAGAGGTTGAATTCCATTGTTTTCTCATATTGAGATATTTAAAGGTTCGCGTTTGATTTATTTGAAAACTATTGTTAAGTGGTATTAATTTGGCTTGCGGCTTTGTGCCCTTAAACATGATAAAAATATAACGTAATATGTTTTGTAAAGTTTTCTAGAATACCAAGATTTGTATTAGAATCTAAAAATGTAATAAATTAATGTTAAAACATCGGCGGGATACTAAGTAGGTAGCGTCGATTTGAAAAACGTCTTTTGGCAAATTTAACTCGACGAAGACAGCAAAGTTTACACTGCGTTCACAGTTCCGGAGTGGCCTTTATACCAATTTCATATAATGCATTTGGGCTGTGTAAAGCAGCGCAGCGCTTTTACCGATTAATGGATACAGTCATCCCTTAACGCCTAAAAGAGAACGTATTTGTATACCTAAAAGACTTACTGATTATATTAAGCGAATTTCAAGAAAGTTCCTGAAGAAATGTTCCACAACTATTAGTTAGCAAAAATAATTACTTCTTGATTATATTTTCCGGTGTTGCCGACAGATATATGCCCTCAGCCCATGTTGTATACACTAATCCTAACTTTGTGGGGGAGGTACCAGAGAAGATGAACATATATATATATATATATATAGATGTTGCACTAAATCTATGCTTACTATATAGTGTAAATATTAAGGTCTGTTAGGTTTAGACCACACAAGATTTAGCATTCGGTTTATACTGTGGATATGTTTTTACCAAATCGGAAAATTTCTAAATTTTCACATTTTGTGGGGAGAAATCAGAAAGAAGTGAACCGATGGGTCCCTTCTTCAAACTTGATTTAGTGTTGGTATAAGTATTAGGATATGCAACCTTTGAATTAATTGAACACTCAATTCGATTGATTTAGGATATACAAAACTTCGACACTTTATGGGGAAGGTACGAGAAGAAGTGGTCCTATATATCCCATTTTCTGAGCTAATGTAGTTTTTGTAAATATATTACGATGTGATTGGACCGATGGGTCTTATCTTCAAACTTGATATAGATTTAGTAAAAGTATTATGATATGCAAAATTTGGATTAAATCGTACTCTTAATTCGATTGATATTGGCATTCAAAAATGTTCAAAATTGTGACACTTTGTGGGAGAGGTATCATAGAGAGTGGGCCGATTGGCAATATCTTCCGACTTGATATAGTTCTGGCGGAAATATAACGATATTTTAAATTTAGTTGAAATTAAATATTCCCTGCGTTCAAACGAGATTTTTAAAAATTTCTAATGTTTGACCCTTTGAATTGAGAATTGTATTAGTAATGTCGCATAATATTTAAAACGCGATTTCCATATTGTTAGTTCGGCCTATGTTTTTATTGCAAAGACAATAGATCGCCCTTTTGTTTCTTAGTTAAATATCCAGTATTTGAAATTAAAAGCTAAATATCTGAAATGTAATAATTTGTAATGTAATTGCGGTGCCAAAATACGCCCGATCTACTAGCAAAATTCATATTTAATTGTAGAATGCTAGGAATCTGTCCGAAAAAATAAATTTTTGATTCAATACATTTCATTTGAAAATACATATTCATTTTAAAATAGAATATTATAATATTCTCATATTAAAAGACACATACGACGTACATACATACTTATATGCGCATCTATGTCTGGGACACTTGGAAAGGGACACTGAATTAATGGAACGTGCAAATTCCCATATTCAAATTCAGTACGCGAACATACATACACATATTTCAAACACAAATAAGGGTGTATATGATGCCGCAACCCGCCATCCAACTACAACCACTTTAATGGGGAGCACAAAAGAATTTATTTTAGAAAAAAGACAATTGCATGCTAGTTCTTCGTGGAGGCAAGCAATCCATCCATTTGGACGGCGGACAGGGGACGCTTTTCCTTCGGAGGTTGAGAAATTATTCAATTAATTATCTCGTGAATATGAAGTGGTTGGCTTTATTCGCACCAAAACAAACAGCCAGCCAGATAGACAGTCAGACAGACACATGGGGTGGACAGTTGAATGGATGGACGAGTTTTGTTTTATGCCATTTCTTGTTGTTTAGCTTTTGTCTCGTTTTGCTCATTTGCTTTGTTTTGGTTTGACAAATATTAAAAATAGGTTCTTGTACCACCTTTGTCTGCCATTACTGAACGGGGCCTTGAATTATGGGAAATCTGCCCCGAAATAGCCCAGACGGCAGACCACAAATAAATAAGAAGGCAGCCAGATGAGAAATGGCTAATTTTGGCAAAGATTCTCTGACTTTGGCTAAAGAATGTTGTAATTTGTCTTCATTCCGCTGTCGAATAAATGTTGTCGCACGCTGTGATCTTTGCAAATGAATCTAAAAGGTGGCGCATTACATTTCACATAAAAAAAAATTATACAAAATGACCGTGTAAAGATTACATTCTATACAATGACTAGATGATGATTGTGGCGGTGGTTGGGTTGGTTAATTGGTAGATGCTGCTGCCCCAGTACCGCTAACATTGATAATATATGTATGACTTTTGCATTTTATATTTAGTAATTTGTCAATCAAAGAGATTTCATTTCTATTTTACTTGGGCCGTTTTAGTTTCTTCTTGTAATAATCTTCATTTCGCCGTGAATGCAATTGCATTAAAACAATACAATAGAATAAAATCGTTGGCAAGCATTTGTTTGCCTGGGATGTTGATATTGCATCATATACAAACTTACATACATATGTATGCATACGTATAACTATGTGCCTATGTACACATTTCTATATGACTATATTATATACAAATCTTAATTGAATATGACCTCAATCAAAAATGCATAAACAATCTAGACTAGTCAGTCGCTTGTAAACGCCCCGAAGCCCAAAATACCCCTCGGACTAAATTTGCAATACTACTGCCACGACAGGTGATAATGATGCACAGAACACGGAATAGCGAACAATATCAACGACACTTAACCAGTGGCAATAAATTATGAATTAAATGCCTCCACCCAATGCGATAGATTCGATGTGAGTGAAATAGTCAAGGTATCGAATAGCGTGAACAACCTGTTTCACCATTCGAAGCGATACGGATTCATATCAAATGGCATGGGGCAAGCGTAACCACCGTCTATTGCTGCGTTCATGTTTACATTAAGTTATTTTGTAATTTATTGGAAGGGCGAGCGAAATGGCAACAGTTCGCTTCTCTGCAAACCGAGAGTTGCTGTACGTTAAATTTTTTTCATGATCATTAAAATGATCTAACGACAAATAAGATCAAATTTTGTTATTATTACACGGGAAAACGGTTTCGACTTATTTTTAACTCGCATTCTTCCGGTTTTCAAAATTGGCGCCCAAACGATACAACGAATTGGCTAATTCATTAACCGGAATACTGTGAGAATATAATCATTTAGGAAACTATTCCGTGTGTATAGATCAGATTGGGACACATTGGTCCGATTTTCTTTTTTATGAAAAAAAATAATTTAAAGAATTGGGATTATTTCCAAAAGCATTGACTTCCAAACAGATTATGAAAAATATTACAAAATGGAACAATTTATTTTCACTGTGCATATCTTCCTAAATTTGGTAATAAGTGATTTAGACTTTTCTCGCATTTCCCAACGAAACATAAATTACCTCTTCTATATACGTCAAAGGTTCACACAATATACCAACATAAATGTGTCTGAAACAATGTGTTTATAAATTCGTTCTCAACATTCCCTTTCATATGCTGGATTCTAACTCATTCTCACACACATGCATTTTTCGAGAATTTTCGAGCATCCTATGAAAGAAATCAAAAGAAAGCCATATTTGTTTCAGTTTCTTAAGATGGGCTGGAATAGTTACTGGTAAATAAGGGAACCTTCCTACCGGGACTGGGGTAAACGACTAATGTGTGGTTTACTGCCTCAAATCCGTGAACAAACCACGTATAAATTCCGAACATCATTATTCCTTAATGACCATCACTGATCCCGAGATCAACGGAATATCCATATCTGTAGCGAATTCGTAAAATGTTCATGCACTTGGCACGGAATATTTCGTAATTCCTTCCTTCTGATGCAGTAACCTTAAGAGATTAAACAACAAAATTTCTGCAGAACATTGCTTCCATAGATTTTCAAATGGATACGTTTTTTTATTATATAATTATCACCTTTTTTAATCAAGCATTCTTGTAATTGATAATTTATTTTTAATTCTAATTGAAGCAGATCAATCGATTATCTGCTCTAAAACAAATCCCATGAATTTATAAAAGAATAAAAAAAAAAACAAAATAAACAAATTAAAGTAAATAATCATTTGTTATAGAACTCGAAAGGAACAGCCAAGAGCTCCTCTATTTTCTTCTTTTTTTTTCAAATAACGCAATTCATACATGCTTTTCACTATCGAAGCTTTTCTATTCTAGAAGCAATCAAATTAAACATGCAATACATTCTTATTTCTCAAGCTTGACTGGCGGTGGTATTAAAATACATTCGAGCCATTGCAATCGGGACATTCGACCCAAATTAATTAAGCTTCCTCTTATTCAAGCGGCAATGCACCTATAAATAAATTATTGGTAGGGACGGTTACGGGTATCTGGCCCCATGGTACTGCCAACCCTTATTCCGCTGGCGTTTTGAACATGCACAAGCACTTCCGTTATATCCACATTCTTGTGGTTATTGAAATTTTCGAAATGTTCGTAGGAATGCATTTTCCATTCAATGTTGGTTGGCTGGCTCCCGGCAACAAGAACAAAAAACAAAAACTTATTGGTTAACACCAATTCTGGCTGGTATCCGCTTGTCAAGACTAGGGAAATTTACTACCCCTCCACATTTAATTATCAATGTGAATATCCTTCTAGGAAGACAGGAACTTGAAACTTTCCATGATATATGCGTGGGGTATATGAGACGAGACACAAACGAAGTACACGTATGAAGAGAGTGGTGGGCAGCAGGCGTAGCGAAACTTACCGTACATATACCGAACAACAAAATCGACACGGTTATCCCAAGAGTAAGCCATTGTGAGAATTTATGTGGAATTCTTGTTTAACACAATTGTATCTAGAATAAATTAATGAAAATTATTGTCTGGTTTCAATTGAATCGATATGCAATGCAGTAAGCGTGTGTGCGTGTGTGGATGTGTAATTTGTTCGCTTGCATTTAAACTTCACAGTTTATCTTTTTTTTTTTTTAATTTCTATTACTAAATTTCGTTCACTGTTTTCAATTTTTCTTTTCTTTTTTTGTCAAGTTAATTTTTTCACTTTGTTATTTTTTTTTTCTAGTTTCTCAACAGGATTTCTTTTAAACTTTATAATTGTTCATGTCGTTTTCAGTTATGAATTTATTTATTTTGCGTTTTTCGCTTATTTCTCTAGTTCCCGCTAACTACCTGAGGACCCGTTCGCTTCTGATTGACAAACTGTATTTTGGTCAGCAAGAGAACTAGAGACGGTTAATTCGCCTGCCTACAACACCAGACAACAGTTCGCCCTTGCACCAGATGCAGCCGAAGTAAATGTATCGCAACACACCCGATCGGATCGGCCCATCGAACATGTTGAGCAACAACAAGACCTACCCAAATAACTACCTATTTGCGGGCCTCGGACCGATGCTGATGCCGATCGGCGACCACTAGCCCGCCGCTGCCATAGTAAAACGACGTTTGTCGTCTGCACTAAATGCTAAATAGAGTAGTACGAGCTATAGTACATACACACGAGTGAGTACTAGACAATGCTGGCTGCCATAGGCTCACGACTAAATTCAGACAATAGCAGCGATGATACAGCGAGGGGCACGGGCACAGGTTACCATTGAACATGAATAGGTGGCAATCAGTTCAAATTTTCGACATTGCCGTTGTGTTGTGTTGGTGCCCGATACGACAAGCACTTAACATCTTCGTACGCAAATTTGTATCTTTGCTGATGTCTGTCTGTCTGGCCGGCCATCCGATCGACGGGTCCGAGGGAATGTATTGGCACAAACTTAAATGTAAACAATGTTCACCACAAAAAAGACCAAACGAAAAGCCAGTGTATTCTCGCAGGTACACACACAAACCGCATTACATACGCACATTTAATTTAAACATTAGATGATTCGCCGATTTGGTCGATTCCTAGTAAACTCGAATAAACAAAAGTATTTTATTCACGTTTGTTGATTTTATTGACTAGTGCAGCAACCTTCGCTTGACAACCAACAACCAGTCATCTATTGCGGATACATTAAAAATGCAATGTTTCTGCATAAACATTTTTTTTGGTTTTGTACAACAAAACCAAAAAAATCCCGATCCATCACTCAAACGGTCGCTCTCTGTTATTATCTTGGCAAAATTTATTATTTAAACAATTTTGCCAACATAATGCATTATCTAGTTATTACTGAAAATTCAATTAATACAAAATGTATTCGAGAAACCAAATTCAAAGACTCCTGGCTACACGTGTATACCTAAATGCTTTCATCGGCCTAAATTGCTCTGTTGTCCTTAGAAAACATATTTGTCAGTGACAAAGTGGGGACAAAGTTTCTTCCGTGAAATTATTCTTCTTCGATCCTCAACTTAATTCACGAAAATGTACAAATATGGTCAACGGGCGAGAATTTTTCTCTCAAACACTCAAAGAGCTACCTCATCTGCTTGCGCAACTACCCATGCTTCAGATCCTTACAACAGTACGGGTAATATCAGCATCATGTAGAGTGTGAGTTTGGTCTGGCGAGAGGTGGCTTTGCTTTTGAGTTGCTTAATCAGACCATAGTATCATAAAAGCTGATGTTATTAGTTTTGTTTGTGGCGGTACCCAGGTATATAAAATCGTTCACAACCTCGAAGTTGTAGCTACAGTTGGTTTGAATCTACTGGACGTCTTGCGTATTGCCACCATCAGCTTGGTCTTCTCGCCATTTACACCAGACCCACTTTGGCAGACTCCTTCTCAATTCGTTCAAAGGTGGCTGTTACCGTTCGCAATGTTCGACCCAGCTGGTCACACGACAAACTGTCATCTTGTCTGAATCCTCGTTCGGTATTGAAGGGCTCCGAGAGGTCCTTTCCGACTTTTACTACTGATCTTGTGCCAGTTAAAGATATCCTACATAGCCGTATTAATTTTGCAGGAATACCGAATGCAGACATGGCTTAAAACACCTCTGAACGGATATTATTAGCAATTATGTCTAAATGTATATTTAAAAACCGCTCATGGTGAGAGTACCACTCATGGTACTCTAAAAATGCTACAAAAATTAAAAAAAAATCCCGGGCCGAAGGCCGGCTATACATATAAGAAAAATTTTGATATAAAAGAAATTTTAATCGCATAGCCAAATTTTACACCTGCCCATAGGAGAAAATTGTTTTAAAAACAAATTTGGATGCGTTATCCGAATTTTCCGCCTGTCCATAGAAGAAATTCTTAAATCACCGGCCGAAGGCCGTCTGTATGAAAATTTTAAACGGCAAAATGTACTTTGTAGGGGACTTTACTTTAAGACTGATGTCGTTGATATTAAGTCGAAAATTGGTAAAATTAGTTTCAAAGTTGTCTATGGAGTTTTCAAAAAAAAAAAGGATTATATACAGGGTTATTTTTAATAACACACCAAACTGGAAAATAAACGAGATCTTCGGCATAAGGAATAGTTACATGGGAAAGACCGAAGACAGAAATGGGGAAATTGTTCAAACAACTGTACTCGCTCTTTTTCTTGCTTAAAATGCGACAAAAAATCATGAAATTGGTGAGTGTCAATTAGGTTCAAATGATAAAGTCTTTTGCGTCAACTGCATACTGTTTGGATATACGGCAAATTATAGAGGATGTAGTGCGTATAAGGAATATGTTTCTTATAGGAGAAAACATGCTGAAATTATAAAAATCTCAGAATATTGCAAGTATTAGAAATTTGAAAAGTGCGTTGAATTCGTCAAACTTAGTTACAACAAAAAGGGTTTTTGCTAGTGCTCCTAAAGGTGACAGTGGAATATTTGCTAACCAAGATAAACCTGTTTTGGTTCAGGAATTTTTAAAAGGTTGCAAAACTGTTATGCGGTTCCAAGTTAACCCTGGAGGAGAGGATAAAACAATTTATGGCTAATTACAAACATACGTCAAAGGATCAAGAAAAGGCCGAGTGCTTGAAATTGGTAAAGAATGTTCAAGATTAGTATTCTCCATAGGGGATTAAACTTAATCACATTCAATGTTGGATCTCTTGTCAACATTTGTAGAAAAGTCGAATTTAACATATTACTAATCAATATAAAGCTGATATAGCTTTTTTGCAAGAGATGCATTTACCGTTGGCCAGAAACATATATTTAGATAATTTTATTTTTTTTGTGTTAATAGTGCGCTAGGGGTAGGTATAGCAATTAGAAAAGGCATTTCATATACAAAGATTACTATTCCCGGTTTAAATTTCGCAAATGCTTTTGTTGAAGTAAATTTCTGATCAATGGTACATTACGTAAACTAGTATGTGGTTCAATTTATTTCCCTAGCAATTTTGATCGCAGATTTATGTGTGTTGGCTTAACGTCAATTTAAAATTTTGCAGAAAATTTTGATGACTTAATAGTAACTTTAGATTGATCGCAAAAATTTTTAAACTTTGAAGTTATGAAACCATTAAATCCGTGGGCAACGTTTGGCAATTGAAATAAAAATTTATATTTGTTTATAGAACCGTCCCTAATCTAAATAACCTAATGTGGTTTTGCGAATTTGTGCGGTTTTTTAATTATTACCATTTTTGTATGTTAAACCATTTACCGAAATAGGAATTAATTTAAATCTGAAATAACTGGAGTAGAGGTAAATCTTATATTTCGCCTCAAAACTATTTTATTTTCATTATTTTGTCAGTTTTCATTAGATTTAAACATAATTCGAACTTATTGTTATGAAACAGCTAATTTAACACTAGAAAGACGGGAATTTTGTATATACCTATACTGCCTAAAATCGGTCAAAATGACCTCATTCTGAAAGAATTTTTATTGTGTAAAAAATTTTTTTAAACTTATTTTTTAATATTTTTTGCAATATTTACAATCATACAAAACGTTGTTATTATTTGTTTTCGGTGTTAGGGCTCTCGAGATTCCCCTTTTGAAAAATAAGGCGCGGACAAAATGTTCGAAAAAGAGGAAGTCTTTACTCTAAAGGTAAGGTCACAATAGGCACATATTTGACGAAAAGTGTCAAATATTTCTTTGGCATAATCTGACCACAAAATATTTTCAATGGAAAACACAAAAACAGCTGATTTTGGGCAAACAAAATTATTTGACAGTAAACAAAATTTTGCGTAAAGTGCCCCCAATGTGAACGCCGACTAGCAAATATTTGCCTTATTTTTGGGCAAACATTTATTTGCCTTATTTTTGAGCAAACATTTATTTGCCCTTACAATATTTTTGTACGGGCAAACAATGGAAAATAACAGGTGATGAATTCATTGTGTTGGCATTTATATTGTTGGAATTTCGTCATTTTGTTTGAAAACAAAACATTTTTGACACTTTATCCAATCAAATATGGCATAATATAATTTCAGGCCCTAGGTACGCTTTCAAACCGAATAAGCTTAATATTGCCATTTCGAATTCTTTTTGGGGAAGACACCGCATCGCAATGTTCAACATTTGTATATATGTAGCTGCGATATAATGACAAAGCCCGGTTTTCGTTCTGTTGTAGGATTTAAACTTATTTTCGAGCGATGTGGCTGTGGTTCGCATTTGGGATTTATATTAAGTAAAAACCTTTATTTTGTATTTCGGGCTCTCAGATGGTAAATTATCTCATCACATACAAACATGGAGTTTTGACATATTCTCCATACAAAGGGTTGCCCCATTTGGTACAATCCGAATTTTACTACCAAATGGGATCTAGTTTGGTGGTGGTTATTAAAACGTTCGGCACAGCTGAACTTAACCGCAAATTATTTCATTCATAATTCGAATCCTGGCAAGATCTAGCTACATCCTCCATATATACGTTACGTCCGATTTAATATATAAACGGATTCCGTAGGGGTATGATGTATATTGTACTATTTCGAACAATAGCATAAAATACCTTATTAATAACTTATAAAATATACGACAGGATTTAAAAAATGATCGAAGTTGGCCATAATTTCTCTCTATATTTGCTGGCAGGGCCTATATAAGGTCGGCCAGTAAGCGAATTCATAGAGAAAAGTTTATCGTCAATTTTTTTTTTGTCGAGGCGAAAACTATTTGTTTCGCCTTTAAATGAAAAACACAGCCAAAACACAACACAATCTGTAATTGTATGATAATTTACTTGAAAATCTTCTTTAAACTCTTGAAATAGTCCCAATGTGCTTCACAAAGGCGATATAAATTGAATTTTAATTGAATGTTGACAAAATATTAATATTTTCGTTTTGACGTCTTAACACAA